TTTCATAAACATTTTTTCCCAAGCCAGCTATCTTTGAACTGCAGTCCTCCCACTTGCTACCTCCTGTGCCACGCCACCTCCTGCAGAGTCTGCGTGAGAGATCGCGCCAGGCAAAGCATAAGCTTCAAGGAAGCATGCCTGCAGGAAGGGGGTGTTGGTTCAAGACTTCCTATATACTTGGCTGCACTTTTATTGCCTCTACCTTTATTCTTCTTGGCTGTACATTCATTGCCTTTATTCTCGTTTTGGCTATTTTTCTATTGATTTGCAAATAGAGCTTGTTGTTTCTTTCCAGTTCAATAGAAACAGCTTCTCTGAATAATAAAGACTAGGACCAAAGATTAGATGTGGACAATGCCCCAATCAGTATATCATCTGATGTGACGCTGCCTCCAGAAGCTCCTGCAACTTCACCAGCAGTTTTGCGGCTCACTCATAGTAAATATAGAAATTTAAAATTTCCAGATATGTTACAACAGGCAGAATTAATGAATTAAACTAAACCAGAAGGAGTTATCCCAAAAGTACAGAGAGTTCTAGAAAAAAGGACCCCTAATAATAAAAGGAAAAGAAAGATTCCCCCAACAGTTATGACTAAGTTTGGTCCAGCTTACGTTATAGGGAATAGATGGTGGTTTCCCACAAAATATAAAGTTAGTGACATCACATTTCCTGAGCCGACCCATGAACCATTGCCTTATACAGGAGTTTATAAAGATGGAAATAGATGGATTAATGTAAAAGGAAAAAGAGTATTTTGGTACTCATTAGATTTTATACAAAGATTAGGTAGATCTAGACCATTATGGTGTTTATTATCAAAACAACAGCAAGATGGTTTAAAATAACAATTAGAAATTTATATGAACAAATATGGGATTAAAATCATAGGAAACGGAGAATGCCTGACTTAACCTGGAAGTAGTTTTTAGGATGGTTTCAAAGAGACTTGAAAATATATGGAAAAAATAAAAAGAGTACAATATAAGTACAGCCCTGTCTTAGGCTTGTTAATTATTAAACATAAAAAGGCTGAATAGATGATGCACTGTATTAATATGCTAGACTTGTTTTTTTTTGTTTTTTTTTTAATTTAATTTAATTTTATTTGTGAACATACTGTACAGAGGAGTTACAGTTACATGGGCAGGATAATGCGTACATTTCTTACCAAGCATTGCAGCCTCCTCCTTTGTTTATCCTTCACATCCCTTCCCAGCCTCCCCCCTCCCCCCCTAATCCCAATCCTTCTCCTTCTCCCCCTTCCTCCCCCTTCCCCCCCCCCCCCCCCTACCAACGTTGTAAAGTTCGTTTTGGACATGACAACTTGTACTTCTTATTGTTGCAACAGGTCCACCTGTATTCTTAAACAACTGGTTTTTCCCCATCTCCTCCACAAGTTATACTGACATCAAATATAGTGAAAGCAGGGGTTATATTGTGGGGGAGGGACATACAAAGCAACAAAGAGATAATCTTATAAATGTGTTAGAAACACATGCATGAAAGAAAAAAAAACATTAAAATACACATCTACGGGTTCATTTTCCTGACATCACATTATCTGACCTTTTCCACTTGACTCATACATATACTAGATATTACAAATAAGGGAAACCATGGGACCTACGTTTCTTTGGGCCTGGCTTACTTCACTTAATATAATTTTTTCCAAGTTTTTCCATTTCCTAACAAATGGGGCAATGTCATTCTTTCTGATGGAGGCATAGAATTCCATTGTGTATATATACCACATTTTCTTGATCCATTCATCTACTGAGGGGCATCTGGGTTGGTTCCATATCTTAGCTATGGTAAATAATGCTGCAATAAACATAGTTGTGCTGGTAGCTTTAGTGTGGTCTTGTTTGTAAACATTAGGGTAAATGCCCAAAAGTGGGATTGCTGGGTCATAGGGGAGCTCTATGTGAAGTCTTTTGAGGAACCTCCATACTTCTTTCCAAAGTGGTTGAACAAGTTTACATTCCCACCAACAATGAAGTAAGGTTCCCTTCTGTCCACATCCCCTCCAGCATCTGTTGTTGTTAGAGTTCTTGATTTTTGCTGTTCTAACTGGAGTGAGGTGATATCTCAATGTTGTTTTGATTTGCATTTCTTTTATGGCTAGGGATGTTGAACATTTCTTCATGTGTCTATTGGCCATCCTTCTTTCTTCTTCAGAGAAGTTTCTCTTTAAGTCTTTCGCCCACTTATTTATTGGGCAGTTGTTTCTTTGAGGATTTGTTGTTGGGTGGTTTAATTTTTTGAGTTCCAAGTATATTTTAGATATGAGACCCTTGTCCGTTGTATGGCTAGTAAAGATCTTCTCCCAATCCGTGGGCTTTCTATTGATCTTGCTAGCTATGTCATTTGCCCTGCAGAAGCTCTGCAACCTTATGCAATCCCATTTGTCCAACCTTTCTTTGATTTGTTGTGTTTCCGGGTCTCTATTCAGAAAATTTCGGCCTGAGCCAAGGAGACCTAGGGTTTCTCCTATTCCATCCTGTAATGTTTTCAGAGTGTCTGCTTTGAGTTCAAGGTCTTTGATCCATTTGGAATTGATTCTGGTGCAGGGTGATATATAAGGATCTATATGCTAGACTTGTTTTGCACCACATAGCTTAAACACTTGGTGGGATAGTCATCAATTTTCATGTAATCCATCAATACTTTGCTTTTCTTAAAAATTGATTACGTGCTTAAATAAACAAAGAATCTATGTCACAATCACACACTGTATAAAAATGTTAATTCTCCTCAATAAAGATACACTCAGATGCAACTCTTTTGAATCTGTGTCTGTTTGTCACTTCGCCTACTCCTTGCCCACCTATCCCGAGATCCCTGTCCCGTCATTGGGTCCCGGTGCTCCAGAGAGCTGGTCCGTCGCACTCCCGAATAGTTAGGACTAGAGATGTGATCCACTGGGGCATGTTGGGTTTTTCTTAGCTGAGAAATACCACCTGCATGTACACAAATTGCTCCTACTTACTGGACACACATAAGTCTATGGTTGTAGCTGTAGGAGGTCATCTTAGTAGTGTGATTACAGAAACACTTATTTACCTAAATGTTTCCCTTGTGAGCTATAGCCAGGTTCTCATGTGCCATTTTACTGTACATTTATGTGTATAATACATTAATGTACAGTGATGTGTACATTTCCAGAAGAGGTATATTCACAAGGTCTTCTCAGACATGTTCTTGATGGGACACTATTAACTTGATTCATTCATTTTTTTTTTGGGCCAGTCCTGGGGCTTGAACTCAGGGTTTGGGCACTGTCCCTGACATTGTTTTGCTCAAGGCTGGCACTCTACCACTTGAGCCACAGCACCACTTCTGCTTTTTTCTGTTTATGTGGTACTGAGGAATTGAACCCAGGACTTCATGCATGCTAGGCAAGCACTCTATCACTAAGCCACATTCCCAGTTCCTGGATTCATTCTTGAGAGTAGAATTTGACAGGTAAAGGGTGGGGATACTAAAAAGAAAGTATCCCTGGGGGAAGTCAAGAACACTAAAGGTAACTGCTCTGTTGGATGGCAACACCTTTGTAAAACTACTTAAAGAAAATAAAAATAGATTAATAAAATAAAAAAGGAACACCAAAGGTTATGAGAGACCATTGCAGGAGAGGCTTCTGACACAGGGAGTAAGCACTTCACACTATCCCCTAATGTTCCTTGGTCACAGGTATGACTGGATGTTCTGTCTTCTACATGGGCTGCTATCTCTAACTAAATTGTTTGATTTGACAGTTCTTGGAGGCAGGACTCTGATATAGTACTAAACACACAGGAATTGCTTCAAAAATATTTAGGTGAGTGACTTAATGTGTTTTCAAATGATGCTGGACAGTGATGATATTATTCATTTGCTAGAGTATGTCAAAATTACTTTTTATAGAATACAAGCCTCAAATTCATTAATTTAACAATCTAGAGTACTGACATTGTACTTGAGAGGCCCTCCCATGCCCTGGCTCCCAAACAGGGGATGAGGTAGATGAGATCCAAATACTTTGAGTGGGAAACTGGGGATCTTAGGCACAAAGGATCTGTGGACCAGCAAAGGAAAGGAGGAGGTGATAAATAACGCTGGTGTTCAGATGATACTAAAGTTAACATTTTTCTGTTTCACTCAGAATATAAGACAAACAGTTTCTATTGAAATTTAAAGTGATGATTTCTTTTTAACCAACAAGTCAACAATAGAATTGCCCGGTACATTTAATTTTATATAAACAATAAGTAATTCTTAATATAAACATGTTCTAAATATTGCATTTGACTTATATTAAAACTGTTTTTGTTGTTCAGACTGGAGTGTAGGTCAGTGGTAGAGAATATCCTTTGCAGATATGAGACCCTGAGATCAATTTCCAGCATCAACAGTTAAAAAAAATTAAAATTCATTGTTTATATGGAATTTACATTTATTTTTATTTTTTATTTTTATTTTTGTCGGTCGTGAGCCTGAACTCTGGGCCTGGGCGCTGTACCTGAACTCTTCAGTTCAAAGCTAGCACTCTACCACTTGAGCCACAGCGCCACTTCCAGGTTTTTCTGCTTATGTGGTGCTGAGGAATTGAACCCAGGGCCTCATGCATGCAAGGCAAGCGCTCTACCACTGAGGCACCTTCCCAGCCCCTGGAATTTACATTTAAAGTGGAGGTCTCACGCACTTCCTATATTTTGATGTACTGAATCTGGCAACGGTAATCAATGGGATATAGAGTTAATTTCACAGAAATCCACATTGGAGATAGTATCAGTAGGGATACCTTCAAAGAGACAGCTCATAGTACACATACACACACACACACACATACACACACACACACACTGGACCACAGCATACAGGTAATAACTCTTCTTTTAATGTGACTTATGTTATATTGACAATCAAGTTATTTGCAGTTGCAGACCCCACTAGCTTTATTGGCAGAGCAGTTGAGATCTCCTATCTGATAATAAACTTGGTTTTCATCTGTGGTGCTAGAAGCCATGTTGCTTGAAGTATTTGGCTCTTGCCAGGACATCATTGCAGAAGTCACAACTCAGGTCGTGACTGCTTTTGACAAAGCCAGGACCCCCACTGTAGGAACAGAGTCCACCTGAAATTCATATGACAGGTTAGTCCTTGACTCAGCAGCCCTGGTTACTTCAGGATAGTTGGCAGAAAGCTTAGATTCTCTTGCCCAACTGCCTATTGGTAAGGAATCTGGTACAGTGTATTACATTTGACCCTGTTAATTCCATGCTGCAAAGCAAAAGACTTATGAAGTTACACATACCTCTCAGGTACTGGCCAGGGGTCCATGTTGGAAACCTGGTCTGAATGTCTTTGATTCTAGCAGTCAGAAGCTGAGTTGCCTGGGAAATCTGGGACTCGTTGATCCAAGATGGGGAGGGGTAAAAGCTTGAGTCCTATAGGAAAGCAGGTAAGCCAGGTTGGAGTGTGATGTAGCAGCATAGGCTCAGGGCTGCTAGCTTTCTCCTCTACCTTTGGTGAAACTAATGCTACCTTTTCCCTGGGGTTAAATTGTAATGCTTCTTATGCCTTTTGAGATGATTATCACCCAAAATACAGACTACTCAAGTATTGGTGTAGGAGTAGAAAAATAAGAATGTTTATGCACTGTTGAGGGGAATTTTAAATGATGCAATCACCATGAAAAACAATATGAAGGTTCCTCCAAAAAGTAAAATTAGAAATACAATCTGACCTCACAATGTATTTCTTGGTATTTGTCTAAGAGAATTGAAGTCACGATCTCATAGAGATGTTAGTACTCCCATCCTCATTTCAGAGATACTCACAATACTGTAGAGGTAGAAGTGGCCTGAAGTCCCTGATAGAAAGGTGGACAGAAAAATTGTGCAATATCCATGGGATATTATTTAGCTTTAAAAAGGAAGGCAATCCTAACTACTTAGGAGGCTAAGATCTAAGGATCATGGTAGAAGCCAGCCTAGGCAATTATCTCCAATTCATCACCCCAGAACTGGAAGTGGGGCTTTGGTTTAAAATGGTAGAGCATTAGCCTTGAGTACAAATGCTCAGGGACAATGTCTAAGCCCTGAGTTCAAGCCCTATGACAAGAAAGAAAGGAAGGAAGGAAGGAAAGAAAGAAAGAAAGAAAAAAAGAAAGAAAGAAAGAAAGGAAAGGAAGGAAGGAAAGAAGGAAGGAAAGAAGGAAGGGAAGAAAGAGGAAGAAAGGAAGGAAGGAAGGGAGAGAGAAAGAGAGAGGAAAAGAACGAGAAAGAGAAAGAAAGAGAGAGAAAGAAAAAGAGAGAGAAAGGAAAGAAAGAAAGGAAAGAAAAAAGAAGGTAAATGCTAAGTGCTGGTGGCTCATGTTTGTCATCCTAGATACACAGAAGGCTAAGATCTGAGGATAGCAATTGAACATCAGCCCAGTCAGGAAAGACTATGAGGTTCTTTTCTCCTATTAATCACCAGAAAGCCAGAAGTGGAGCTGTGACTCAAGTGTCATCCTTAAACAAAAAGTTCAGGGACAGGGCCTAGGACCTGAGTCCAAGTCCCAGAACTGGCACCAAAAAAGGGAAGCAATGTCTGTACTATAAACAATACAGATGAACCTTGAAGACAATATGCTAAGTGGTACAAGCCAGTCATAGGCAAATACTGTATAATTCCATTTACCTGAGGATCTTAGAACGGTCAAATTCATAGAAAGCAAAGAACAAGTTAGTGGTGGCCAGTGACTAGACAGAAGAAGCTATAGGGAGTTGCTAATTAATATGTGAAAATTTTTGATTATCAGTAAAAAAGTTCTAAAATCTGACATTCAATATTGAGCCTATAGTATAAACACTATGGCAATACATACAGTGTTATATTTCAAGTAAAATTTGTTCAAAGGATAGATCTCATGTTAACTGTTCTTACCATCAACATACACAAAAGAAGTAAAACTACAGGGTCTGGGCTGAGAAAGAAACAAGCAGTCATTTCAATGTTGGACTAGAAGCCAAAGAAGATTGAATTCATGTAGACTGTAGCGTGGTTGCCCTCCTTAGCACAACTCACAAATAGACTTGAATGCACTTTCCACCTGAATGCTCTTTCCAGTTGATTGGAATATCTAAAGTACTTCTAATTTTCCTTATGCACCTTCACATCCCTTTTGCCATTTTTTTTAGGAGAAGTGGCTAAATTTAGTAGATATTATTTCATCTTCAATCTCATACTTTTCCCAACAACCTGATTTTATACATCTCTAAAAGTGTCCCCTCAGAGTTGTGTCACCAAACAAAAGGACCACACCAGATTAATGATGGAGCATTACCTGCACCATCCTGTCTCCATCACCCACGTTGACCAGAATATTGCCACCCTGAGACTCCCTGGACAAGACACCAGCGATCACTGCAGGATCCATGCAGTACCTCCGGCCAATGGTTCGCATCATGGGTTGATATCTCAGTAGATATGGCATGTCTATTTCAGCTAGCCTTTCAGAAGCTCGAACTCCTGAAGCAAACATGGAAGGAAGGATGTGGCTTGGTCTGAGTTACACTGAAATGAGAACCCAAGGAGAGAAAGGACCTTCCAAGGATATGAGTATCATTCTAGGATTGAGAAACCTAGGTGTAAGCTTGTATCCCTACGGAAAATTTCCTGATCTGAGATTAGGACTCTGTTCCTGTGAGTTTGAATCAGCATCCCATGAATCTCCTAAGATGGAGATCCAAAGGTGCTTCTCAAGGCCTCTCTGCTAGGCTTCGGGGACTGCTCACAACTCCCCCTCACTTAGTGGATCTTGTGAGCCTGGCCACCACAAGATCCAAAGCCTCCCAGAGAAAGACTTCTAGTAAAATGAGGAGTGTTCATCAATTATCTACAATGGTCCCACCATTGTGGATAAAGGAGAAATTACCCAAATGCCTTCTGTAGGTTGATGGTGAGTTTTTCTTAACAGATTTGTTCACAATTCATCCCCCCTCCCATTTCCACTCTTGTCCTTAAATAATACCAAGAAATCACATTCAAACCTTTACTAAGACTGCTGGGCAAAATTGGCTAGCCTTACCATCTAAGCACTTTTATGGTTTAAGAAGCACTTTCATTCATTATATTGATCATAGTTTATAACACTAGAAAGACTGTTATCTTGATTTCAATAAAGGCTCAAGGAAGCTAAGTGAAACAGAGCTAGAGCTCTGACAAAGTCTTTGGGCTCTACATGCAGTGCTCTTCCTACCCCACCCCCACTCCCTGGGCATGGGGATGTAGGAAACAGTGGGAGCCAAGAGAACATGCATCAAGGGCACAGAGACTATAACTACCACAATAAGTCAGGCCATGACGTCTTCCAATCCCACAAGATGCTCCAGGTGTATTCAGGGTTCTGATGTTTCCATAACATCCCCAGTTGCTGCTTTCAGACGAGCCTACAGATTGAGAAAAGGTCAACCTGAACCATGGAGCTAGAAGAGCTTCCATTATTCTGTTGTGGATGAAATGGCATTGATAAACACAGCAGCAAATAGAATAACATCAGTAAGATCTATAACTTCATTTAAAATTCTTTTCTATTTAACAGTGTGCTAAGAAATTGTCACAGACACTGCTTTGATTCTAAATTCTCACCTCCTGCCCTGCAGTCATGAGGAACTTTCAGGACAGTTATACTCTTGGCAAAGTTCAGGGGCTGTTTAAGGCTACAGGTGGTTGTCTTGGAACAAATCAGGGGTTATTTGTGTCCTAGTCCCTATCTTACCTCCTTACATGAATTCTTAGCACTTATGTAAAGACTCTCAATCATTGATCTAATGTTTGCTCTAGAACCATGGGTTTTACAGCAAAGTGTGGTGGCTCACACCAGGAAATCCAACTACTTGCTAGATGGAGATCAGAAGGATCATAGTTAGAAGCCAGTTTGGACAAAAACTTAGCAAGATACTAGCTCAACCAATGAACTGGATAGGGTGGTACACACTCATGGTGTCAGCCTCATGGGAAGACATGGGTAGGTAGATCATAGTTCAGGATAGCCCAGGCAAAAACCTAAGAACCTGTCTTAAAGACATAATCTAAAAGAGAAAAAAGAGCTGGAGGCATGGCTCACATGGCAGCGAGCTTCAGTAACAAGCACAAGGCCCTGACTTCAAACCCTATGTGCCACACCTCCCAAAGGGAAGAAGAAGCATCACTCTCCCTGGAATCCTCAACCCAGACCCAAAGTACAGAAACTAATACTGGGATTGGCTTGACCTTCTCTCAATGAATTCTGGGTAGGGGCCAAAGGTTTCAGAGATGGAACATAACACACACGGGTTAAGCACAGGACCAGTTACATGGGGTTCTTTCTGCTTCATCTCTTTCTTTCTTGGCATCTATCTGCTGCTGCCATTCTGGTCATCTCTGAAGGAGAGGTCTTGTTTTAGTCACTATTGCTATTTCACAAAGGCCATTGGAGTGGAGGACATTCCTCCCTCACACCAGGAAGGGAGTGGGGAAGTGCTTAAAACCTAGAGTCTACCCTCCATAACTGTGGATTCCTCAGCCACGGTTTCAACCAAGTGCAAATTGAAAATGTATGGGGGAAAAATCTGTATGGAACATGTATAGATATTTGTTTACTTGTCATTATTCCCTGAAGAATATTGCATTAACAAAGTATTTGCATAGCATTTTCTTTGCATTAGGCACTATAGTCTAGAGATTACTTAAAGTATCCAGGGCTTGAAATAGGTTATTTGCATACTCTATACCATTTTATATAAGAAGCTTGAAATCTAAGTATCCTGCATCCTGGAACCAGACTCCTCTCTCATCAGATATTCAGGAAACACTGTAAATGTACAATTCACACCAGTAGCTAGTAACAAGTACCTTGAAAGCCTGGCGCTGGTAGCTTATGCCTGTAATCCTATCTACTCAGGAGGCTAAGATCTGAGGATCACAGTTCAAAGCTAGCCTGGGCAGGAAAGTCTGAGAGACTCTTATCTCCAATAAACTACTCTACTCAGAAAAAGCCAGAAGTGGTGCTATAGCTCAGTCTTGATCACAAAGTGGTGCTAGCCTTGAGCACAAAGAGGCTCCGAGACAGAACCCAGGCCCTGAGTTCAAACCCCAGGACTGGCAAAAACAAACAAAAAACAAAAAAGCAAGTACCTTCATAGGCAGGAAATTAATTGCTCTTTGTGAAAATTATGCCATCATTATAAACTTGTAAGAACTTCTCATTACAGTGATTTAAAATTCTTATTTTATTCTTTGATCAAGGTAGGGTATAATCATTGAGTCATGATTTATAGATTACTGGAATTGTACTAATTGTACATCATTGTATGCATCCTGTATGTTTATAGGAGTGCATTTTTAGGTTTTATGTTCTTAAAGCTTCACAGGGTTGACATCTGAAAATACTAGAGTAAAAACTTGTAGTTTACAAAGTTGGCATGAGATACGTATTAGTGAAAAGACTTAGTTTTTGTGAGAATACAGTCCAATGTGTCTATTAAGATGTTTTTAAAGTGGTTTTTGTTGTTGTTGTTTTTTCTTTTTTTTGTGTTTTGTGCAGCCCAGGCTTGCCTGTCTCTGGAATGCTAGAATTCTAGGCATGTGCCATTGAGCCTGAATTTTTAGATCAGTACATATTTATCTTTATGATTGATGAGAAAGACTACTCGTGTGTCAGTTGATACTATCACTGCTGCCTTCCTCTGACCTCTCCCTAATGTTTTTCTATCAGCCACAAAGTTCCTTATATACCCAATGCTTAACATCTCATAGGAAGTTAACAGTATTTGTTGGAATAAATGGCTGAATAAATAAATAAATGGATACATGTAAGACCTCATCTGAGAAATTTTTTGGAATTTAGAGCAAAAAAAAGTTTGCTTCTCCCAAGGAACTTTTTTGTTTATCAAAAAACAAGTATCGCTGGGTGCTAGTGACTCATGTCTGTAATCCTTGCTACTCAAGAGGCTGAGAACTAAGGAATATGGGTCAAAGCCAGCTCAAACAGGAAAGTCCATGAGACTTCTATCAAAAATCCAAAACTGAAGCTGTAGCTTAAATGGCAGAATGACAACCTTGAGCAGAAAAACTAAGGGACAGTTGCCTAGGACCTGAGTTTAAGCCCCAGCACTGACACAAAAATGAATAAATAACACGTATTTTCACTTTTGGCTCAGCTGCAAAGAACATAGGACCAGAGCAGAAGCTGCACGGTATGTGAGTCCACAGTAGTTGAATCAGGCTCAGCATAACCAGCCTGGCCATGCATCCATTCCTTTTGTTCCTGTTTTCTATTTGAATTATATTAGTCTTATTATGGCAGCAGTCTTAATCTTTCTATGGAAGCTGATAGCCTATAAATATACCAGATACTTTTGATGAAAGAGTTTTTGGCAGTGGGTAATGAGCAGGTTTATCAATGGTGAATATTTAAATTCTGACTTTTGGCAATATTGTTTTAAGATCACCCTGAATTTTAAGGTACCTTGTTTTTTAATGATGAAGCATTTGCAGGGAGGAGGTTTGTTCATAGTTGTTCTAACAAAATTTATTATATATCTTAGGAGAAAAAAATAACTTTCCCACTTCAGTTTCAAGTGTAAAAGTTCCCATGCTTCTCCTTTCCATTCCCAAAGGTCATGTGAAGAAAATGAAACATACTTACAAGTCAGGGCCAGAAGACCAAGGAGCAGCCACAGTGCAGACATATTGTGTATTCTGGGTCCACAGTGCCTGAAATGCTTTTGAACCAAGTTAGGTTGAAGATGTGCTGACCACTATCACAACAATACATAATGTTTCCATAAAAGAGTTGTTGGGGAATGGAATAAGTTTACTTGTAACCGAAGTAAAAGATGAATGATTTGGATCATAGTGAGAAAGCAAAAGTAAGACAAGTGCTTCATCTTTTTGAATAGCTTAAACATGAGGAATGGTCTCTTCAGTTCCTAGAGCCTCAACACAGTGTCAAGATAATGGCTAATTATTTTAAGAAACCAAGATACTTTGATTCTCTACATGGAGAAATGACAACCTGAGCCAAGTCTCTGAAAGCAACATTTTGATGCATGTGTCAGCCAGGCTGGGATTCCAGGCACAGGCTACCACAATTATATCAGGGAAGAGCAATTAACAATGGACTTTTTATATGGATGTACAGGGCATTCCAGCCATAAACACAGCATATTGAACAATCCAAACTCCATGGTCCAGTTAACTGTACAGGTATCAATGTGGGACTCTGTGTTTAGAAGGGATTATTGAGGCATCACGAGGTGTGCTCTAAGAGTGTCCATTGGATACTTAGGCCTAACTTGTGAATACCTCCTGTGGTTTTCTGCACGTAAGGTATTTAAAAACTGTCATGTCAAGACAAATATGGTAGCTAGATATGGAGTACAGTGTCTACAGGGACTTAGCTCTTATTATATCCTGATAAGCAAAACAGTAGCTAACAGCAAAGGAATAGCAACAATTTACAGCCACAGCACACTCCTCGAGGGCTAGCTCAAGTTCCTAATGGCCTCCATCAGGATGTCTTTCTACTTATCTTTTCTCCACGGGGCACTCTGTGATTCCAGCAGCATTGCATGGATTTGTATAGGCTAAGGATAATTTCTTCCTTAGTTTATTTTTCTGGAAAAGGTGGAAATGAAGGTCTATTTATAGTTTCGTTATGGGAAAACTCCCATTCCTTTTCTATGAATGCAATTGACTTTTACCTTAACCTTGAACAATAGCATCCCAGATTCAGAACATGGATGTTCCAATCATGAATTATGTTGCATTAACACCCTGATATGCTGACAGATAGAGATGGCCCTGCGCCATCGCTCCATTCCCCGACCCCGGGCCCTACCATGAACTGACCTGGAAGAATAAAGAACTATTCTACGCAACCACATTAACCCAAAGCTATGTTGATGCCCTTGCTTCGTGTGCATGTGCGTGTGCACACGTGTGCCAGAATTAGGGCTTGACCTCAAGTAGTGGGCACTGTCCTTTATCTTTTTCAACCAAAGCTGGTGCTCTACCAATTAAACCACACTTCTATTTCTGGATTTTTGATGGTTAATTGTAGATATGAGTCTCATGCCTGTTCCTGCCCAGGCTGGCTTTGAACTGCAATCTTTGGAGCTCAGCCTCCTGAAGAGCTAGGATTATAGGCATGAACCACTGGAACCTGGCTCATTCTTGCTTTTTTGTTGAGACATCTCTCTATCCATTTGCTCCCTCTGGGCTTCTCACTGTCATCTCTCTTGCTGTGCTGGTTTTTCCCCTCCCTTGTCACACACAGCAATACCCCAGCCCATTACCTTGGAAGGCTTCTTTGAACCAATGGTCCTTAAATTAAAGCAATAGCAATAACAGTCAATGACGGTCACAAAGATCCTTCTGTCATCAGAATTGAATTTCCTTGGGAAAGAGCTAACATTTTAAAGTAAAATATAGGGCAGCAAAGTGAGAGCTCTTTGTTGTTACTGTTGGTTTTTGAGACAGTGTTTCTCTATGTAGCCCAGGCTGACTTCAAATTTATCACCCTCTTGTCTAAGCCTCCTATGTGGAAGGCTGGGATTATATGCATGAGGCAACATAGCTTGTTCTAGACTGTCACTTTTTGCAGATTTCATCTGCACATAATCTATGAAAACATTATATAGTTGAATATATATATATATATATATATATATATATATATATATATATATATATGAATTGTAAGCTATGATTAATAGCCCAGGGGAAAAGACAGAACATTTGGTGGAGTTTCTTTCCTTCTTACAGGCAAATCCTTTCCTTTGCTCAGGAGATTGAACCTTGAAAGGGGACTTCTTCTTTCCTTGTTTCCCTCCCTCCCTCCCTCCCTCCCTCCCTCCCTCCCTCCCTCCCTTCCTTCCTTCCTTCCTTCCTTCCTTCCTTCCTTCCTTCCTTCCTTCCTTCCTTCCTTCCTTCCTTATTTCTTCCTTTCTTCTTAAGACAGTGTCTCACTATGTATCCCAAACTGGCTTTAGTGATCCTCTTGACCCATACTCCTGAGTTCTGAGATTACAGGCCTGCATTACCATGCCCAAAAGAGGTTTCTTTGGTCTGTGCATCTCTGACAGCTCTTTTACACTTTGATCCTTTGGGTTTCCTAGAGTTGAGAACTCCAGCAAAGTGGTTTTACTTGGCTAGAAACTGGCTCAGGAGGGCTGGGAAGGTGGCTCAGTGGTAGAGCGCTTGCCTTGCATTCCTGAGGCCCTGAGTTCGATTCCTCAGCACCACATAAGAAAAAAGAAAAAAGCCGGAAGTGGCGCTGTGGCTCAAGTGGTAGAGTGCTAGCCTTGAGCTGAAGAGCTGAGAGACAGCGCCCAGGCCCAGAGTTCAGGCCCCATGACTGGACCCCCCCCAAAAAAAAAGAAGGAAAGAAACTGGCTCAGGAATATCTCCTTCTGAACAAAGACCAGATCAAAAGGAAACTGGCCTCTCTGCTCCATCCATAGACTCTTGAAACCTGTCTACTACTCAGTTCATTACAACATAAGCTCTGAGAGATGTTGGCCTTATTTTTACAGCTTCCAGAGCAAACAGGACATTAGGATACCCCATCACTTATAGTGTTTGAGTAACATTGACAAAATAGAACACAAGAGAAGGAAATAAATTTACCATGTGGCAAAAATGCAAACACCTTAGTCTTGGCTTTGAATTTATGCACACAAAGAAAGCATTCCATTTGATCTATTACTGTTAGTGTTAAATGTATACACATTTTCTTTCTCCCATTATTTGTTTTGCGTATGCATAAAATTAAGAAAAGTTATTTACATAAAAAATAATCACTGTAATGAACAGGGAAAACTGTTCTGTATCTGTATAACATTTGTATGTGTGTGTGTGTGTGTGTGTGTGTATGTGTGGGGGGGGGGCCTAGGACCTGGGTGCTGTCTCTGAACTGTTTTGCTCAAGGCTAATACATTACCACTTGAGCCACAGCTCCACTTCTGGCTTTTTGGTGGTCTCATAGCCTTTCTTATCCAAGGTTGGCTTCAAACTGTGATCCTCCCATCTCAGCCTCCTGAGCAGTTAGGATTACAGGCTTGAGCTACTGGCACCCAGTTCTATATGACTTTTAAAACTTTAGTTTTCTTTTCAAGGTTCTTTAGTTTTATCAGCAACAAATACACAATCATTATCAAACATCACACAATGGATTTTTCATCCTCAATAAGCAGTTACCAGTTTCACCCATTGACACTCACCTGTCTTCAGTTAATTCTTGTCTTTAGAACCAGTGAGCCCACAGTGCTTTATATAGAGTCTTTGTTCTAGTTCCTCCTTTAAAAAGTACATGCCTCATCCTATTATGAGATTTATGGCTAAATCTCATAAATTATAATAATAATCATAAGAATTACAAATACTTTGAACTTATATAGACAGTCTTTTTATTCAGGAATGTCCTGGCATTTTGCAAACATTAACCAATTAGTTCGTTAACCACACCTCAGAGGAGAGATTCTAATTGTGGGTTCATATTGACACTCTCAGGTCCCAGCATCTGTCTTTCTTCACATTTGTTTCTGGGAATGCAGCTAGGTAAGAAAAAAGAAATGAAGGAATGGAGAAAAGAGTCTCCTCTTGCAGATTTCATCTGCACATAATCTATGAAAACATTATATAGTTGAATATATATATATATATATATATATATATATATATGAATTGTAAGCTATGATTAATAGCCCAGGGGAAAAGACAGAAAATTTGGTGGAGTTTCTTTCCTTCTTACAGGCAAATCCTTTCCTTTGCTCAGGAGGTTGAATCTTGAAAGGGGACTTCTTCTTTCCTTGTTTCCCTCCCTCCCTCCCTCCCTTCCTACCTTCCTTCCTTCCTTCCTTCCTTCCTTCCTTCCTTCCTTCCTTCCTTCCTTCCTTCCTTCCTTCCTTCCTTCCTTATTTCTTCCTTTCTTCTTAAGACAGTGTCTCACTATGTATCCCAAACTGGCTTTAGTGATCCTCTTGACCCATACTCCTGAGTTCTGAGATTACAGGCCTGCATTACCATGCCCAAAAGAGGTTTCTTTGGTCTGTGCATCTCTGACAGCTCTTTTACACTTTGATCCTTTGGGTTTCCTAGAGTTGGGAACTCCAGCAAAGTGGTTTTACTTGGCTAGAAACTGGCTCAGGAGGGCTGGGAAGGTGGCTCAGTGGAAGAAAGAAAGAGAGAGCATATGGAAAGGGAGAAGGAAGGAAGGAAGAAAAGAGGAGAGGAAAGAAGGGAGGAGAGAAGGAAGACTGAGAGAGAATTTGTTATAGCAGAGACTCTTTTTCTTGGTTTATATTAGACATGAACAGAGGTTCTAGTTCAGGTGTCTTTGATTTAGCATTACCAGCTCAGATTTGTGGAACTAGGATTTTGTTGTTGTCTACCCATGGCTAAGATGGTAGTGTCTTGCTTATGAGCAAGGATCTAGAGTTGGGCACCCAAGAAGCTCCTAAACTTAATTTTGGAGGGGGATATGGGATTGCTGGGCTCCTCTTTGTTGGCAGTTGGGGTAAAAAGCAAAAAAAATAAGAGGGATCTGATCAGACAAAATAATATTTATCAAAATGAACTCCAAGAAATGAAACCAAGAGGTGTTTCTTTTTTCTTTTTTTTTGCTGTTTATGTCTTCCTTTCTTTTTGTTCTGCTTGTTTATTTATCTGTCTTTGGGAGGGTAAGAGG